AATCTCCTATTATTTCATTCTCACGGGAGTAATCAACCTATTTCCTGTGTCAATATTTTTACCTATTAAGTCATAAAGTGAGTTCATCCTGTACACACATACATACAAACATACAGAGAAAGAGAGAAAGAAAGAGTGAAAAAGAGATAAGAGACATACACATACATTCTCATACACTATACTAACCACACACACACACACACACACACACACACACACACACACACACACACACTGTTGATTATACCGGTTATACTTTCTCACACCCACTGGAGTCCCGCCGCTACTTTCACCAGAACTAGTGACCTTTAAGTTGTAGAGCGAATCCATTCTCTCGCCCACCTGTTGCTGCTGTTGTTGCTAGTGTGAATCGGTTGTCTTCTGCCTTCATTACATCTCCTAAAGCGATGCAACTCCGCCATTGCTTCATACAGAGGAGGATGAGGAGCCAATCTTGTATGTGCTATGTCAGGGGTGGGAGGCAGGTGGCGATCTTCTGCTGAATTTAGAAAACGGATATTTTTTTTTTCTTCACCTATTCATTTTAAAACTGGTTATAGAACGTATATTTTTATAAGTGAAATCAGGTAAATCTTAAGTTATGTTTAAGGAAGGGGTAGACTGCCAATCATGGACTGAATCAGCAGATAATATTCGTTACAATTCACGCCTTCGGGTAAAAAATACATGTTTAATAATTCCCAGGTATAGTGACTTGACAAGATTAACTGATATCTTAACTTTGAAGAACAACGAAATTATTGCACTTGAAAGAACATCTAGATCACACTATACAAATACAGGCGTCGTGTTTTTTTTTTTTATAAGATCTTGGTATAACCTGGAAAATTAAGGGCAAGAGGACTGGAATCCACAATTTGTATCGAAGACAAAGTGGGACGACAATTACATAACATAAGAGAGTGTAATTCTTGGCCCTTATAGACAAGGACGCTAACTTTCCCAGTGTTATTGTTATTATTATTATTATTATTATTATTGTTATTATTATTATTATTACCATTATTATTATTATTAAACCATAACCTACTCCTTCAAGCTCTATCCTTAAGGCAACACCGTTACCAAAATTAACAAGTTCGATTTCATATTAATCCCCCACTCGACCACAGACCCAAAACACTCATCCACAAACCTTATTACAATGACCTTGACAAGTTACATTTCAGTCCCCAAATCAATAAGGTCCCTCAGGTGTGCGCAGTGAATATAATATTAAAGTTTGGTTACATTACATCCAGTAGTACTTAAGTTATTGTGCGGACAACATTAGCTTTAGCCCTGAGCGATGGACGAACGGCATGGGGTATGGATAAGGTGGAATGGGGCAGCGCAAAGTAGTCAGGATCAAGGATGGGATGGTATATGGATGAAGTTGTGCGGAGTAGTGTAATGAACGCGGGGTGGGACGGGGTATGGTGGAGGGACGGGGTGGGGTGGAGGGGCGGGGTGGGGAGGGGCAGGGCAGGGTGTTAGATAAGACTGGTGGTGGTGGTGGTAGTCCAGGTTTTTGGGAGTAACAGTAAAGCATCACTCGTCCTGTGTGGTGTGTCTGCTGTGGGTATACCCGGTGTCTAGTATAGCCAGTGACTGTGTGGGGTATACTCAGTGACGGAGTGTATATACCCAGTGATTGAAGACGATTAATTGAATAATAAAACGGTGATTATGTATACGCCAATAATTGAGTGGTTATACCCAGTGATTGTTGATATATCGGTGATCGTGTGGGTATACTCTGTGATTGTTTAGATATACCCAGTGTCGAGGATATATACTCATATATTGTGGATATACCAGGTGTTGATGTGGATTGACTTAGTGTTGCGGATATCCCCAATAGTGATGCGTACCGGCATATACTTAGCTGTGATGTGGATATAATAGTAACTATGTGGATATACCGCACCTATAAAATGTCTGAATATACCCACATATTGTATCTCTATAACTACAACCTGTGTGGATATACCTATAAATCCAAACGTGGTGTTGATACATGTAGTGTTGTGGATATTCGTGTGAATATGCTTAACAGTTGTTACAATGGCCTTACTGTGCGTCAACAACTAAGGTCTTTAAACGCGTTACAAGGTCAGTAATTACACTATTTCATCAACAGTTAAAAATTATGAGAAATAAAATCCTCAAGTTACCTAGAAGATATGGGACAAGGCTACAGTAAGCGTGATATAATGGAACATGATATAATGAACACCACAACTATGCCATACCGTAATGCAGTTAACATGACCTTACATAATACACTGGGCATGATAGCATAACACACTGGACATGACATGGCATAATCCATTGAACACGACGTGACGTAATAACAATAAACACGTGAGGGTAATATTGAACATTTTTATCTTCGCGATTAGAATTATAACTTTTTAGGATTTATCTTATTTGATATTACTAAAGAAATACTATAAACTATCTTATTATTATAGAGACAAGTGGCGGACGGTGACAAAACGTAAAACAACTTGAGGCTACTTACAGTCAATGTTAAAACATGATCTGGATTTAGAATATCAGGGTCGAGTCACTTGTTGACATTGGCGGTCTGTGAGGCTACGAGACTATACAGTTTACAAGAAAAAATATCATAAACCTCACCAAACTTATCTAATTTAACGTTTTAGATTATATATTAAATATATTATGTTAGATTAATTAAGTCGCGTTGCCTAAGCTACGTTAGTTACGTTAGGTCAAGGTGATCTGGACAGTCAACTCTAATATATGGTATAAGGTCGTAGCCCCCACAGCTTCCTGATCGTAATAAGACTTAATAACGTTTAAATCTATGAGGATATTCAAGTTTATTTCCCTAATATCTAATATTTGTTCTCTCGTGTACTTGTATACTTAGAATGCGAACTTAAATAGCATAGTTGCTCAAATATACAGAACCTCAACAAAAAAAGTCCATTTTCTATCATTGCTGCCACCGGGTACTGAGACAATACGAAATTTTAGGGATAACTTTAAGAAAATTAAATTTGGAAACTCAAGATATATTAAGATATTAAAAGTAAGATTCCATGGACATAACGTAATACAATGAACATTAAATAGCATAGTGAATATAACACAATAAACTGAACATGGCACAGTGCAATAGGCAAGACATGAAAGTGAACATGAGATAACAGAGTGAACATGAGAGTACAGCGGATAAATGCAACACATTAATAAAATAAAACCAAGCAATTAATTTGGATACAATTATCGAAGACGAAGCCAAGTGTTACTGCGAGAGTCGAGACAAGTTCATCTAATTGAGTTGCCAAATTATTATTTAATCTAAAGAAGAAAAATTCACCCAAAACGAGTCCTTGCCAAACGTCGTTTTAAATGTCTATCTTTCTATCTATTAAACTGTAATTTAAAGGATAATTTCACACGTAGGAAGGTCCCGTCATTATTGTTTTTCGTACCATAAACTAGAGATACATTTTTATTTAGTTTGGTAGAGTCTTGGCACTATTTCACTGCTATTATATTCGTCCGCTTTTTGTTGAATTTTTAGTGAACAAATTTTAGCTTTTTTTTTCCTATTTTCGTGTCTTCAGAAATTCGTATTTTCTTGTAATTTAAGATGTTGAGAATATATTAACTGATTCACTTAAGGGAAAAAATAACCTTAAGTTCAAAATGGCACCGAAACTCTACCGTAAGGTGTGGGTGAGGCAGATTAACTTACGTGTGTCTGAAGTTACGGTGAGTTGGGTGGCCTTAAGGAAGTCCCTGACGGTCCGTTATTTTTAAATTCTCGCGTCCGTTATTTTCGAATCCTGGTTCCGTTATTTTCAAATTCAGGATCCGTTATTTTTATAGCCTTCGTCCGTTAATTTTTGTAAAACCTTGGTCCGTTCTATTTATACCCGGGTTTGGTTATTTTTCAAATCTGATTCCGCTATTTTTGTGGCCTTTCTCGGTCATTTTGTATTCCGGGTTCAATATATCTCAAACCTTTGTGTGTTACTCTTCAGACTATTAACTCTATTTCCTAAACCTGTTCCGTCAGTGTTCGTTACTTTTATCATTTTTATATAGCGGTTATTGAGTACACAGTGACTTCTACCGCCTTTTCACTCTTCAGTAACGCTGACGTAAAATATTCAATATATCACATTATATACAAACGACGGCCAGAATAATTATACCAATAAAAATTCGTGCGCCAGGCAGCGAAGGATCTTCCCCCATTTGATTTTACAGCCAAACTAAACTAATAAATTTCCTGAATCTTGTTTTTATTATTTTCTGGGCTTATCGTCACTTAAGGTTATCAGTAGTGAATTATAAATAAATGTCAACCCAGAGTTTGTGTATTTCCTCGTAAGGATTCACGCTCTGGTGTAAAAATCATCAATAATTCACCTCAAAACACACTCCACTGCCGACGTAGCAGGTTGACGCCCGTCCTGATAAATGCCAGGGTCGTCCACGCGTTCTATTTCATGGATGCGGCGTCGACCTTCATACACCCACATCTCGTGCTCATATTTTTGCAAGTGAGAATCGTACCGTTACTAAGATGCACCCTCTCATTATCTGATCAAGGAGGAGAAAAAAGGATTAGCATATGATGATTCGAACTGCCAGAGAATCACGAGTGTTGGTCTCTTGCCAAGTCTAAGTCAGGGTCGCACACACGCCTCCGGAAACAGGATATTATGCATTTGATGTTCCCTAAAAAATGGCGATAAATACCAATTTTTAAAAGTTCGCATGATAATTCTTTTTTCTGAGAGAATACAGTAACCCACCGGAATATTTGTTTAAAGTAAAGTTTCAGTATAATATTAACTTCCATTTCCTTCTTCAAGACTTTATTATTTTTATTGCTTAAGTGAAATAGTTGAGTTATTATACTTTCGTGAAGAGTTGAAATGACGTGGTAAGAATGTTAAGAATCAGGTTTCAGGTCATTACTCCCTTTTCTTGTGGCGTTTCAGATCATAAGTCAGTAAGAGAAGATAAATTAAGATAATATCAGGTTACAGTCGTGCAAGAAAAGATGATTCATGAAACGCCTGAAATAGCTATAAGATTCTTGAAGCAACTGCAAGAATCCTGAAACAACTGTAAGAGCCCTGAAGCACATGTGCCATTATCGAGACGCCTGAAATAGCTGTGAAATTCCTGAAACATTTGAAACAGGTGTAAGGTTTCTGAAACAAACTGTAAGAATCCTGAAAAGCCTGAAGTAAAAAATCTTACCGCAGATGAAGCCTCAGGACAAGGAAGCCTCTCCGGGCAACCCTCCACCACCGCTGACATTTCCTGAAGCCCCCTATAACCCCTGAAACGTGCTGAAGCATTCAGAGGCCTCCCGAAGCCTTTTGAAGCACCCCGAAATACCTGAAGTCTGCTAAAGCCTTTTTTTAAATCCCATGAATATTGCTGAAACATACTGAAGCTATCTGAAGCCCACTATAGCCTCTGAAGCCTGCTGAAGTGACCTGACTCCTCCTGAATCCCGTTGAGTCATCCTGAAGTCCCCTGAAGCTTGCTGAAGCCCTTGGGGAGGGAGGTTCTCGACTTCAGGAAGGACATGGACTTGTCTGTGTTCATCTTCGTCGTCCTCACGCTCAGTCATCCTCCACGAGTTAGGGTGAGTCCTGGACGGGAGGAGGGGAAGGAGGGAGGAGAGGGAGGGAGGAGGGGAAGAAAAGAGGGAAGACGGGAAGAAAGGGAGGAAGGAAGGGGAGGAAATGAAGGAAGGAAGGAAGGAAGGAAGGAAGGAAGAGGAAGGGAGGAAGGAAGAGGACAAGAGGGAAGACGGGAAGAAAGGGAGGAAGGAAGGGGAGGAAATGAAGGAAGGAAGGGAGGAGGGACGGAAGGACGGAAGGAAGGAAGGAAGGAAGGAAGGAAGGAAGGAAGGAAGGAAAGAAGGAAGGGAGGAGGAAGGGAGGAATAGAGGAAGAGAGGACAAAGAGGGAAGACGGGAAGAAAGGGAGGAAGGAAGGGGAGGAAATGAAGGACGGAAGGACGGAAGGACGGAAGGACGGAAGGAAGGAAGGAAGGAAGGAAGGAAGGAAGGAAGGAAGGAAGGAAGGAAGGAAGGGGGGAGGAAGGGAGGAATAGAGGAAGAGAGGAGAGGCATTATTATTTTGGGTATTGAGTCATTAACACCATTACACTGTTATTAAATCGTTTACACCACTACACTACTGACAAGGTGTTTCACTGTATGTTCTTACTCTTGTGTTACAGGTCACAAGGTCGACGAGAGAGAAGCGTCAGGTACCAGCAGGTCATCCTTCAGTGTCCTCCAGAGATCCTATACCAGTGGCCTTCAGAGATCAACAGGTATCCAGAAACCAAGCTTCAGGGGCCTTCAGGGGTCAGCAGGTGTTCAAAGATCCATTTCCTTCAGGGAGTTTCAGGACCCAACAGGTGTTCGGCGCTTCAATTTCTTCGGTGGCCTTTACAGACCAACAAATGTCCAGTACTCTCACTTCAGAGGCCTTCACAGACCAACAGGTGTCCAGATCTCTCACTTCAGGAGCCTTCGGAGACCAACGACTGTTCAGAGATCCATTTCCTTCAGGGAGTTTCAGGACCCAACAAGTGTTCGGACCTTCCATTTCTTTAGGGACTTTTGGAAACCAACAGGTTTCGAGACCTCTTTCAGGGACCTTCAGAAACCAACAATTTCCAGCAAATACTTCAGGAGCAGGTATCATTGGCCTTGTAGCATCCAATGACTTCCTCCGGCCATCCTCAAATCCTCCGTC